GCCGCCAAACCGTGCCGGCCGCCGCCCGGGCCGCGGAGCGAGCGTTCCGGAAAGGTTCCGTTGTGTTTTCCTCAACATCAGCAAAATCCTCCAAGCGCGGTCATGGAGAGGACGGGCCCCTCACGGAGGGAAGCCGCCTCACGGAGACATCGCTCGGGGCCCGCGGTGGCGTGGCCGTGAGGAGCCCCCTCGCTCGTGCCTCCGGACACACCCGCCAGGCCATGGCACTGCCGGCGTCTCGGTGGCACTTCTGTCATTCACCGAAGCTATTTCAGTAATTAAGATATAAACGCAATACCTGGAAAAATCACTGTATTTTTACACGATTATGCTCATACGCCGGTTTATGAAGGCGGCCATCTATCCAGCAAAAGCAAGAAGTTTCAGGTGTTTTGATGTTAAGAAATCACGTTTTCCGTCTACCTAAAATAATTCTGAGTATTCACGTCACCAAGAGTTTCCATTCATTAGCACCACAGTGAGGATGCTGATTGCTCTGCCGAGCGATTAAAACTCTACTGGATACAGTGGAGGTATGCCAAGACTGGGCTTCTCCTCTTGAATTACAGGAAAATTACTGAACATCCGTTTCTAAGGAGTCTCACTCTGCATCCAAGTAAGACAATGCATGAGGAAGAAAACATGTAAACAGTAGTAACAATTCGTGAAACAGGAGTGGGGCAAAACTAACCACTTCAGTACCCTTCAGCTTATTGCATTTATCAAGAGCAATGTATAACTATAATGGAAAGAGAGAAAAAACTAGTTAGTTTTCAGTTAAACCATACCTGGGAAAAAAAAACAATTTTTTTTTTTTTTTTTTTATTATTTTTTTTAAGGAAAGCAATCTGAAGACTGGAAAAGAGGAATTCTTTGAAAAGTCAGGATTTGCATTTTGGAACTGAAATGGCTGTAGTTTGAACAACTCCCATTAGAACATGCACCATCTTTAGAAGGTAAACACTGAAATGAAGTGTCTTATAAGCTAGCAGTTTGAATAAAAGAAGTGAGAAAAGAGACTTCTTTCAGAACAGGAGTAGTTTTTATTTTCAAGACCAAGAATTTCAATGCTGGACAGGAGAACAGGATATACAGTACTTTTGTAAAACTTGATTTTACAAGTGTTTGAAATTCCACCACTATTTTGAAATTAATAAATAACATATTGGACACCTTATTTTACAATTTCAAAGCAATTAGGTTTTTCATTGCCATGAGCATTTGTAGTCAATATGCTGTCATGAAAGCTGGTCAGGCTATTGCACAAGACAAAATTTTGGGTACATTTGTTAGTCACTGCTTTATCTGGCCTGAAAAAAATGTATAGTTTAGTAAAAAGTAAGCCAATCTTGCCACAATTATTTTGATCTAGGATACCCAACTGCTTACAAAGACAAGAAGAAACATAAATCCAGTTTAGAGACTGTAATATTTGTAGAAATGCTAAGAATCTTGAGCATCAAGATTTGTAGATCTGTAGACCAAGATTTGTAGATCAGCCAACCATTCTCTAAAAGGAAGACTGATGTATAAAACTTCTTGTTGTATACACTCAGGGTTTGAGGAAGTCTGTAATGAAAAGCAAGCCCACTGATGTAAGGCAGCCTTCCTTGGTGATTCATGTATTAACTACTTTCTGCAAAAACCCAGTCACATGGCTAAGACCGCACAGCACATTATTTTACACATACGTGCAAAAGTGTGGATTCAGAGCTGAGCCTAGAGGGGCTGCACAGAGAGATTGAGGTGATAATCATCTAAAAATTTCAGTTTTGTCTGGAGTATACCTTCTATTCTTTATGAATAACAAGAGACCATTTTCCTTGATAGTTATGGTAACTCAGATTGAGGGATTCTCCCATCACCTTCCTCCTAATTTCTGCCTTGCTCTAAGTTGCTTCAGCTTCCAGCCATTAATTCTGATTTCATGAATCTCAGTTTCTCTGAAATGAACATTAAGACTAATCTTAGACTAACACTTTTTCTCCAGCACATCTGTGGCATTGTAGACAAGACCCTTTTCAGCTGTCCATTGGTAGGTTAGAGCAAAACAAGAGCATGGAATGTACACACCAGAAGGGAACAAGAGCATGGATTGTACACACCAGAAGGGCTATAGCCCTGACACCTGTAACAGGTGCAGGACTGAGCAAGTAATTTACTGTAATGGTTGCAACATGTTGCTGCAGCCTTAGGATGGCCTGCGTACCTTAGGATGGTAGCTTACTTCTGTTGTGCCCTACATTAACCCTGTTTAGAACCCAAAAGGCAGGCAGAAGAGAATATTTCTCTCCCAGCTTCTCTTCCCAGCATTTGGAAAATCTACTTGGCCACACCTGCAGCATCTTGCTGGGAAACATGAAAATCCATATACAGATGTTGCCCCTTAATCTCCTAACTCCAGGCACAGGTATGGTGTCCCCTTTTCCCAATCCATTTGCTGGAAACTTTACAGGAAAGAAGCAACACGATGGTTCTCCACAGGCTATGCAGACACTGTCTGAGGGACCAGGAGCCAGTTTCTCAAAGTCTGAAACTCAGACCACTGTCAAAAGGAGCCTGGAGCTGGGTCTCACTGTCCTACAGAAAGAAGACCTATTAAGTGTGCAGACTGTCAATCTTCCAAAAAAAATATCAGTTGTGTTATTGTTAGCACTTAATGAACACCAGTGGATCCTCAAACTTGAACTAATCTTCTGTTATTGATGCAATGCCCAGAAATCTCAATGAGAAAAAATGAGAAACCTGGCTGTACAGTGAGAGGTCATTTATTTAAGTTGTGGAGATTTGGACAAGTACTTCTCTTACAAAGAACAATTTAACAAGTATTCAGCACAACAAGTATAAAAAATTGGCCCATCTCCTTTACAAGGAAGAGTGGTTTCTCCTTTGAAATGAATACAAACCAGAACCAGAGAGAAAGGCATTGACAAGAGAGAGAGAACAAGACATAGACTGGCTGTCACCTGTTCTCAGAATGATCAAAATACTGAGGCACCTTCCAGGTAGGTGAGACTGAAGGCTTTGAAATTAAGAGGTGCCAAACTTTCAAATTCTCTCAGCATTCCCATGGCATCTTGTGCTATTTACCTCATCCACTAAAGCTCTTGGATGATAAAATCAAGTGGCTGATAAAATTGGAATGTCAATTTTACAAATACAAAGGTGGGTGCATGGCCATCAGGATTGCAGTGTGAATAAGGGCCAAAAAACCAGAAGGGCTACAACAGTCAGAGTGAGGTATGTTAATGCATTTCCAGCAATGAAAAGCACAGGTAGTACTACCATGACCATACTAAACTGGAAATGGCTTTCCTGATGTTGTTCCTTTAAATTAAGGCAGAAGTTAAAAACTTTATTTCAAAGAAGAAACCAAATGACTAACAAAAATTTGCAGTAACTGTAATCAGAGCACCTTTTTCAAATAAAGTGTCTTTATAAGCAATAGAGTAATATGGCTACTCTGGTGGGGTATTTTTATATTAAAAAACATATTTCAGAACAAATTGCAGTTGTAGAAAACTGTACAAAAACTATCAATGCTTCTAGCAATTTCAGTAAATAAAAAAAGTTAGTGAAGTAAATAAAGATTTGAGAAAGGATACAAAGAGAAAAATTACTCACTTACGAAAATACTTGCACATACAAACTGATCCCCAGCATAATATCCCCAAGAAAATATAAAAATATATATAGAATTTATGCAAATATGCTCTGGAAAGTATGTCTTTTAATACACTTTCTCTGGCCTTAAAGAGGACCCTAACTATTTATACTTTGAATGAGAATTAATTTTGTACTGTGCTGTACTTACTCTCTGAATGCCAAGTTCACTAACAGCTGCTGCAGAGACAAAAAGTCCTGTTACTTGCTGATGAAGAGTGAAGCCCTTAAACATGTGTACCCCTAACAGCATGATGCAGAAGGCAGGCACAGCACACTGACTACAGCAACACTAATGGAACATTAATAGGTCTCATCCTGTACCTCTGTTCCTTTAAGACCAACTACACATTTGTTGCATCATCTCTGAAGAGGGCAGTACAAAACCAAACCCAAGTCCCCCTCCCTCAGCTGCTTAAATAAGAAGCTATTCTTCCTCTCTTAATGGGCAAAATTCAAGATGATTTCTGGTATAATGTACAACATTTGGAATTAAAATACAAAAAATTTTTATTAAACTAGCTTCTGAATTGACCAAATTATTCAATACAATTAGGCAGTGCATCAAGACCCACACAGAAAGAACAGCTCAGCTCTTTCTGATATCATTAAGATGTCACATATAAATAAAATTCAAAATTGTTAACAGCATTTCTGTGCAAAGTTTCCACAAGGTATTTGGAAACTGCTTTCTCTGGTTTTGCAAGTTTGCAAATGAAGTATTTTCAAATAAAGTATTCATATTTAAGAGGCCAGGATTTGCACTAAGGAAAGCAGAATGTTAGCAGAGGTTTCTTAACTTACAACTTCAATTACAATTGGATCTGCATACAAAACCTATCAGGAATGTACAATATCCAAATATAAGACAGTGATTAAGTAATCCCCATATGTGTACTGTTCAAAGAGTAAATAAATAGGTTAAAATACGTATATGGATTTTAAAAACAGAAAATGGTATCCATGAAGTCAAGGCATTGCTAAGTTTCTACATTCCAATTCATAACTTTATCATAGTCCTGAATTCGTTGTTTTATGTGAGAAAGCTTATTCTTCAGATATTCACAACGCTTCTTTTTCTCCAGAAATGCAGGATCCTGCCAAAAAACCAAAAACCTTTACATTAATATATTAGGCTTTCAGACTTTTCCAAGGAAAGTCTATTATCGATTATGTTATTGACTAAAAGGACAGTATGTAAATATTCTCAAAAAATCACACTCTTTTTCCCTGGCCCTTTCTTATTTCCTGTTTCCCCTTCCTTCATGAAAGGCCAGAAAAAAATGTTCTGCCTTTATATTCTGTAGTTAG